TGCCATTAACCCCAGAACTGTTTTTATTGAGTATGATACCTGATAACATAGATAAGTCAAAGGAATATATAGTTATATACATAGTTACTGCAGCCAGAATTCTCTATGCCAAAAATTGGAAAAGTTTGACGGTACCGAAACAAGAAGATTTCATAGAGAAGATATGGGAAACAGCGGAAATGGACATTTTATCAGAAGTGATGAAGGACCGTCCTGTACAAAAGGCAACAGAAAGATGGAACTTATTCTACAAGTGGACTGAATCAACAGGCAGTGCATGAATAGCATATATTGAAACGAGAACTTAAAACTGGAAGGCAGAAAAGAGTAAACAGAGGAGACGCACCTTTCCATAAGACGCACCAATTTTTTAGGAGAAGAAAACAGGAAAATATAATCTGTTTTCTTCGCTCCATAAGACGCACAGACTTTCCACCCCCCTGTTTTGTGGGAAAAAAGTGCGTCTTATGGTGCGAAAAATACGGTAACTTGGAATCTTGATATGGCAATAGGTATAGAATGGATGTTAGTATGTTATTGTTTCTCCTCTTCCCCATTAACCTCAATTCCCCTTTTCCTTTTTGTCACCCCTTTGTTAAAAATAAAAATTAAAAAAAGAAGAAGCATCCATTATTTTCTTGTGGTGTGGTCATTATTTTTGAAGGGAGTGGCTGCCTCTTAATCTGGCGCCTCAGCTGTGACCATTCTGACTTGGGTGACCCTGCTAGGAGTCCAAGCTCATAATGGAGTCTCACCTCCTGATGGCATCGCTCTCAGGTTCTCTGGTGCGCTCAAATGCCCTCACCACATTAAGGTGAACATCCAATAAAGAGTTTGCTTCTAAGCTGACCTAGTGGTTATTTCTTTTCCTTTAAAAGGCATAGTAGTGCCCAGTGAAATGTCAACTTTCACTGGACCTTGTGATGGTTTAAGTCTATATTAAGCACTGGGGATGAAACAATTTTCTGTTGAAAACATATTGCATCCTGCAACCTTGTATGGAACAATCTGACTCTATAAAGCCCTAAACAACGTGAGAGCTCAATACATGACAGAACACTTCCTTCCAGGAAGGGCTGCCCATCCTACCCATGCATCTCAGGCTGGGCAGCTGTGGATGCTGACACTGAGGAAGGACCAGAAGGAGAAAACAAGGAACCGGACCTTCTTGGTAGTTGCCTCTATGATCAGAAAGGAACTGCTGCCTCAGATTCACCTGGTCTGTCTCTGGACATTTTGACAAGCTTTTAAAATCATGCCATTCCTAATTGCTCCACTTGAGTGTATGCTTAACATTTACAGCCACCCAACCCATTTATATTTACATTAATTGTGATTTGTTGTTTAAATTGAATTGTATATTTATGATTATCTTGTACACCACCCTGAGTGACCATCATTCAGTCCAGCGGTTTAGAAGTCCAAATAATAAAATAATAAACAAACAAACAAACATTTTACTCCATTCTGACTTTATCGGCATTGAATTTAGTTCTTCCCAACAAACATTCTTAAGCTAATTTCTCCCAGGATGTAATCAATGCTCTCAATACAGCAGGAGCAGACAAAATATTCAAAGCTAGTGTCCTATATGAAGGCACCAAAAGGTTTCATAGCTGTAGATACATTCAGAAGGTAAATGGTGTGCAAATTACTATGTTGAAAATGACAGGAATTTTTGACCCCCTTCTCTCCATGGGTCATCCCACACTCAGAACATTTTTTGCATAAAGTGCTATCCCACAATTTTCACATCTGGATTTCCCCATAAGGTTCATTTAGCATCAGCGCACAGATCCAATGTCAACTGATGTGAAGTTAATTACACCTTGACCTCCTGACTGTAGAAACTGCATGGGGAGCCATTCCTTTCATTCTTAAACAAATGTACCCTTTCATAATAACAGTACTCATCCTGATATTGCCCCATCCTTTACAACCTTGTGCTTCTTAAAGACAATTTCCTGAAAAGAAAACTTGAGAATTATCTGCTAGCTTGAGACAACACTCAGAGGAAACACAGCGATATATGAGTGTCACATACTATAAACACTTCAGCATATGGCAGTAATGAATCAATCAGGAAATATATCTTAACAAAATATGAAAGAGAGGTTTTCAAAGTGTCTCTCACTTCCATCGAAAACGATTCAGCATCTCATCAAACATGGATGGGTTCTTGTCTCCGAGGTTTAGGAAGTGGAGACTGATAACATTCTAAATTTAATTGAAACGAAGCGTGGTTTCACACAGTAAATGTCAACCTTAAGCAGTTGGGGAGCTTTTGATTTTTGAGTTTGGGCATTTTATAATTATCAGGAGTGCTACAATCCCTAATAGGTTTAACTCTTGTAATCAGGATGAATTGGTAAGAGAGAACACATGTCGCTCTCAGTTTATTCTGTTTGCTTCAGATGCGGCTGTTTAATCAAAGCGGTATTTTCCAATTGCTGTGCAGTGTGGTTGCTGAATGGAACTGATCTGTATGATAAGAGTTTCCAGTAATGAGACACTCTAGAAGAAAGACACAAGGGTTCCAGAGCCCATTTCACCTAGTGGGTTCAGAGCTGCTCTTCCCCTCTTTTCCTGCAGCATAGTTGTAAGAAGGCTTAGAAACATCTCCTTCCATTTTCAGCTAATTGTGGCTTCTCATAAATCCAAACCTAGACAAACTGGCCAGCACTAACCACTCGTGGTCCAAGACCAGAATGGGGGCATCTCAGATCCCTGAAACGTGGGGGGTGAGGTAGGGTGACCGCAGTCCTTAAGCCTCCCAAGTTTTAACTAATTTTCCTCAGACAAACTAATTTCAAACTACAGTGAATTATCCTTACTTAAGAAACCATTGTGAACATGAACCATTGCTGATCTATTTTCTATGACTGTGTTACATGAGAAGAAGAGAAGCGAAGCATCTGAGCCTTAATGTTAACCAGAGCAGTGACTGGGTTCAACATCACTCACTGGGCAAAATTCTGTTATGTAAATTCTTTTATGTAAAACTCAGTGTCAGACAGATCTGGCACCAGAAATAATTGAATTAAACTAACTGAAAGCTTCCTAGGCCCCCATTTCTGGTTCCAAGGCTCCCTAGGCCTCCATTTTGCCCTGAGGAAGGCTTTGGGAGCCTCAGGACAGGGTGAGGTGGGGCTTTTATAGTAAAAAAAAAAATCACTGCCGGATGACCACCACCAGGAGTGGGGCTATCAACAGCGATTGGGCAGCAATTTTGAAATCTTAAAGGCTTATAGTCCTGCTAATCCAAGTGCTGTTTTTTCCACAACACTGCCGTTTCTCCTAGTTAATTCCTATAGAGGTTTCAGTGCCCTACACGACCGGCTTCCTGTTCTAAAAACTGTTTTGGAAGTTGAGTGCTGCTGCTCTCAACTGCTGGACTTCACATTGTTCCTGATGCAGACAGACATGGTTCGCTAACCATGGTTCGCTAGGAGGCCATTCCCCCCAGCTGGATTTATGCGTGGGGCAGCATACAGTACTGTGCAGCATAGCTGAACAACGTCAACAGTTAGCAAAACATGATTTGGGTGACCTGAAGCAGAGAGCATTTGCATATGGATTCCAAGGTGCCCAGTTGTACTTGCCTGTTATGTAATGATGGAAGATCTGTCTTCTTCTTTTTTAATTAATTGAAAGGACATTATTTCCTTTCAAGCACAGTCTTCACAATGATACTGAAAATGCTCAGCAGATTTTGACCTTTTTCACTCAACGGTAACATCAAGTTCCACTGACGCTCTCAAAGCAACTGTCAAAGAGAAGCATGGTAGCCCCCAGAAACAGAACAACTACATTGCAGGCTTTGCTAATCTGATGCAGATGGCCAAGCCGTAGGTCTTGGGGTTGATTCATCCTTTTGTGTGCCAAAAGGATGCAATTCTAAAAGGACACTTTTCAGAAACAGAGTCTTGATCATCAGTAAATTTATAGCCCTGGCCTGTTTGTCACCTCAGACAAGATACTGATCAGGGCAGGGTTTCTCGTGTGATGATTGTGTTATTCTCTTGATAATTTCTGTGGCATACTAGTTTGGCATCCCACATGAGCTTCTGAAGGGCAAGTGACTGCATTTTGCTTCACGAAAAGGAATTTTTAATGGTCCCTGCCAGAAATAGCAGGAACTCAATGTCTTGTGCAAAAATTAAAACAAAATAAAAATAAAAAAATCAGGATGTGAGTCATTAGCAACAGCAGGACCACTTAGGTGTTCTCAGCTCCCTATGTCTTTTATGATACAGGAGATTAAAAGGGGAGGGAAAAGCATCCTGGAAAAGAAAGGCCACCCGTATGAAGCACAGGTCCTGCATCTCCTTGGGATTCATGTTTCCTTTTGTATTGCTTACTGCCTTACTAGACACTTTAGCTTGAAATAAAATCTGAAGGACAGGCAACAGAAGGGAGGGGGGGGGAGGAAACTACACAACAAAAGAACATGATTGATAACCACAGAGAAAAGGAGAAATTCAGACATACTGATTACATTCCTTACATCTTAGGTGCATTAATTAGTAAAACAGCATCCTAAAGAGATGATTACTAAAACATGGTGTTTGGATGCATAGGCTAGGTAGCCAAATAATCTTGTGGTTGCATAGGGTGTATCTGCACTGTACAGTTACATCAGTTTGATATCACAGATAGCCACAGCTCCATCCAATGGACCAATGGGAAGGTGGAGCTTTGTGAGGTACTTGGAATTCTCTTTTGTGACTCCAGGGTGGGCATGACAACATTGTGACAGAGAATTCAAAGCCCAGAAACAGTGTTAGAGAAAGCCTTTGACTCAAAGAGTCTTAAGTGTCACAGCTCAAGCCTCTTTTACCTCTGGAATTATGCAGATTAACTTGCTTTGTTCGGTGATTGGTCTTCAGAACTTAAACATGGATTCCTTTGAATTCCAAAGGTTCGTCTTGTGAAAATATGGCACTTTGGCTTTAGCATAAAGCTCCTTTAAATGTAAGTACTGTAGATCCTTTTGAAACAATGCTTTGGATCATCCAGAGACCAAAACAGAAAATAGTTTACAACTGGGATTATCTGCAGCCAAGGAGTAAATCCCACTTGATTCTGTAGGGTTTATTGCTGGGTAGATAGATATTGGGTCATGATGAAAGTGGTGTGTGTGACAGGGGAGTAATCACCACATATCCTTGTGAACTGAGCCATACCCTCATCAAGTGCCTGGACTAGTCTGATGAACAAACATAATGTTAAGTAACAGGGAGATAGGCTGGATTTTGGCCTAAGCCAAGCAGGTTCAGGCCCCTTTGGGCTGGTCTAAGCACCTGATGAGAAAAAGAATGCTTCTCCATCCAAATAAACAAGGCCAAAATGTGATCCAGATGGAGATTGGGACTCCAGGAAGGAAGGCCATCTGGCGTAGAGTTGTTATGTTTCATGGTGCAAGCTGAAGTCTCGAGGAATATCTATGCCCTGAGTCAACAGACAAGGAGGTAAAATGCAGGGAAGCAGTACTAGAGGAAAGAGTTGTATTTTTGGCTTTGTGTGGGGACTTTGAAGCCCAGGCTTCAATGTCCACCCATCCCCAGATGGCACCAGAACTCACTGCCTTACCATGATGGCTCTTGTGTGTTGTCCTTGCCCAGTGTTAGAACTACAAAAAGACAGGACTGAAGGGAGAGAACTGCAGAGAAGGCTGTTGATTGCACACCCTTCAGCCCATTGTGCTGTTTGCAACATGACAGAGCATGGAGCTGCAGCATCATAATGTGGGAGACTTCTTGTTATACAAGCAGTGGCTGCAGTGGCACAGGGCCTAGAAAAATATCTCCCCGTGGGTTGGCAGGCAGCCTTCTGAAAGGCCCTGGAAAAAACTGTGTGTGCAAGGGCACTTGCTCAAGAGGTTCCTCCTCACCCACCACCCAAATGGGCTGCCCTTTACATAACTGGTTATGTGTCCCTTTCTCAGCCAGTACACAACTGGCCATGGAAAGAATTGCCCTTTCACTCTGCATTTCATCAAGGGAATTTTAGCCAATGAGTTTTCCAGGGAAAACAGTCAGGGCAGGGAAGAGAGGAAAGGGAGACTGTGTAACAGGCACATTGACCTTCTAATCCTAAGGCATGTTTTATAGGAGGCCACCCAACTGCTGAGCTTTGGGAAGGGATTTAATTATGATTTTTTGACAGTGCCTTGTCCTCCCAAATGTCAGCACAGTCCACAATATGAATACTGTAGTCTTAAACTGATTTGCAGGCACAACAGCTCCACAGCCACTGAACCTATCCTTTTAAAATATTCCAGTATGTCGCTATACTTGTATTATAGTGGTCGGATCTGCTCTGGAGCCATGATTTGGGTGAAACTACATGCTTAGTTTGGGTGAAACAGGCCTGAATCCAAGTGTGTCTCCAGTGATAGAACATCAACTGCTGCCAGAACCAGGAACAAGACATTTTCTTTGCAGTCCCCAGTGCAGCCAAAAAAGTTGTTCTGGAAGTCTGGGAAATCCTGCAGAGCCAGTTTTTGGGTGACACGGAGGTCTGCAGTATCCGCCATCTGGGAATCAAAAATCGTGAACCACTTTTGTAAACCATAGGCAGCCTCTTTGCACACGGTAACCCTGAACAAATATGGGCACAAGATTCCACAACAGAATATAATATGGACAGTAGCAGAAAGAGTATTTCTTAAGCCTCTTCTTGCTTCACATCCACCTGAAACTACACAAATAGATGAATCACTTGTGACTCAGTTTTATTCTTAGGCCAAATGAGAAATGCTGCCTGGTATATTTTTCAAACATTTTACAATAATCAAATAAACAAGAGAAAGAGAGAACCTAATTAAAAAAAATCAAAGCATGCATCAGTAAATTCCAGACATGATAAAGGATGCATTTGTATTACCTTGATTTCTGTCCTGAGTAATACATCAGAAGGTTTCAGGAATTTATGTTGGATTCCTGATTAAGACTGTGATCTGCTTTTTAAGCACCTGGCCCAGAGTTCTACATTACAAGCAGGGTTTATACTTTGTTCCAAAGGCCTTTTGCTTAAGAGAACAATTCTTTTGGCCACAGATGCCTTCAGTGCATTCCTAAATGTGTTGATTCAGATGCAAGCCCCACTGAGATCAGTGAGGCCGTTTCCTCCCGAAAGTGTACATAGGATTATCAGCTTAAATCTCTCCTCCTGAATTCACCCAGAGGATTTTCCATTCAGGTGTTAATTGTCAGTGGGTCAGCCCAAAGGCTGGAGGCGGCTGTTACTTGGATCCATCTGAGAACCTGATGTGGGGCAGGCAGTGCTTAGCTGAACTGAGAATATTAAAAAGCAAGGTCTGGAAAATATTACTTTGCACACAATAACCTAGTCAAGACCCTTCCCTTGAGTCCTGTAAATCTTTCTTCACCGAATGAATGCAGCAGTTTGCATCCAAAAAACACAATAGTATATATTACTGTTATTCGGACCAGCTAAAATGCTAAAATGCTGTCTTGTTAAGAAGACAGAAATCAAGACTACAGAAGAACGACACAACTTTAGCGTTGGCAATCAAGAAACTGAAATAGTTAAAGATAGTTGTATACCTGGGCTCAGTCGCCAATCCGAATGGAGACTGTAGCCAAGAAGTCAGAAGACGACCACGACTCGGAAAGGCAGCGATGAAGGAACTAAAAAGGATCATTAAATGTAAGGATGTGTCACTGGAGGTCAAGGCCAAGATCATCCGCCCTCTTGTACTCCTGACTTTCTGATCACCATGGATGGGTGTGAAAGCTGGACAGCAAAGAAAACTGACAAGAAAAAAATTATTCATTCGAAATGTAGTCTGGAGGAGAGCTTTGGTGATACCCTGGACTGTCAGAAAGAGAAACAAGTCTGTTCAAGAGCAACTCAAGTCTGAACTCTCTCTGGAGGCAAAAAAAATGAGGCTGTCCTAATGTGGGCACATTTTGAGAAGGCAGAATTGTCTGGAAAAGACAGTCATGCTGGGAAAGGTAGAAGGCTGCAGGAAAAGAGGAAGGCCAAATATTAAATGGACTGACTCCCTAAAGGAAGCCACAGGTTTATGTTTAGAAGAGCTGAACAGGGCAGTGGAGGACAGGATATTTTTGAGATCACTGATTCATAGGGTCACCATGGGTTGGAGGCGACTTGATGTCAAAACAACAAAATGCTACAAACCTCCAAGTTCTCTAGGATACTTTTTGAGCCTACTACTTGCTGAATATTAGCCCAACTGATATTGGTGGGAAGGAGGCCATCATGGAAAAGCTCCAAACTTTGCAACAAGCTAATGATGGAGAGGTCCAGCCCTATCATTAGGTCGTCTGCACCAGATGCCTCAAGCAGCAAACACTGTGTGTGTTTCGCAAGTTTGTGCAGCTTCACTATCATGTTTCACCTAATGGATTTTTTTAATGTTAAGAAGATGTGGAAGACACAAAGGGAAAATATGGGTGAGGATATAAAGACTTCCTGTTTTGCGAAAGAGATAATAGAAAGTTATTTTGGTTATGTGCTAATATTGTGATAATTATTTACTTATTTTTGCACACACACACACACACACACACACACACACACTCCAGTAAGCAGGTAGCCTGGAAAGTCTGCCATTTCTTTCTTTTCTTCTTTCCTCCTCCACCCTCCTTTTCTGAGATGGAGAGAGGAACAATACAATCTCCACAACCAAAAATGCCTTCACATTCCTCTCCCCCAGCCTAAAAAAGAAAGAAAGAGCATGGTTTTTATATGGACAGGGTGAACATATCACACAGCTCAGCACTTATTCAGCACAAATGTTATCCCCACCTTGATTTTTTTAATCAACCTGCTAAGTACCACTGAACAAAGCACAATGCCACATAAATGAAAGAACATCATAATATAATGTTAGACCCATATATTGGTATAACACAATTCTGTTCTGTTCAAAAGTGATGTGGAAAAATGCTTTCAGTGACTCACTGTTTCAGCTAAGTGGTTCTCGGTGATTGGAAGTGGACAAGAAAGGCCACTTCAATTTCTTTTTGGGAAAAAATTGCACTATAAAATGCTAGCATTATAATATCCAAGCCCTATAGTGTTAATTTTAAAAAATAATTCTTGACACCGTCATTGAACACCTTGCTGAGATGGGAGTGCAATGTGTGACGGGGTGGCTGATAAAAAGAAAAGCAGCACAAAGGGCGCAGATGGAGATGGAAGGTATGGGAGCCTACGAATCACACCCTCTGACAGAGCAGAACGTTACTTGCAGTTGCGCTTGAAGAGCTATGATTTAGTGATGGTCGGGCCCAAGCCTGAATTCCTGAGGGATAAAAGGTTGCGGAGATACATTGGCTGTTTCAAAAGTATCAAATATTCATAAGTATGCTCAGCACATGTAGAAGCCACTTGTGTGCCCATTTCCCCAGCCTTCTCGGGTGAGTCCTCTTCCCTGTGTGCATTATTCCATCCGGGTTCGTGGTGTGGGTTTATTATTGTTGTATACTTAGCATTAAGAGTGGTTGTGGGTCCAGAGCAAAGCCTCTGGATCTGCATGGAGCTTTGCATCTCACAAGGTTTTCCCCTCCCATAACCTCACCATGCTATGCACTACACGTGATCATGATCTTTAGGAGAATCACCCTGGCAGGAGGGACAGAGTCCCTGTGCTGACCTCCAAGCCCTTCACTCACTTTGCTGCTACAAACACCCTCACCCTGGTACACCTGAGTAGGGTGGTGGGAGTCCCATTTGCCTAGGGGTCTAGGCAAATGGGACTCTCACCACCTAACTATTCAGGCTACCAGCTGCAGAAAACTTCCTGGGAGCATCAGGGTCGGCATGAGCAGCGAGCTCTTCCTGAGCTAGCATGAAGGCCTGTGTATGTCGGTCCTGCCTTCTGGCCTTTTTCTTTGGCTTCTTTGAGATGCCTTTCACTCACATTGTTTTCTAAGATCCCAGGCTGATCCTTTTCTTCAGCTTTCTAGATCCTCCCTTTATTTTCACCTTCTGGTTAATCCTGGACAGCTGCCTATCAGCCCTGACACTTGCATGACATTGAAGCTAATGACGTACAATTATTATTTCATTTAGTTGTCCCATACACCTTGACTTCAAATAACATAATAACGGATAATTTGATGTACAGTACTAGTATTCTTGTGTTTATTTGTAATAGTAATAGCATCACAGAATAAAGCATACTATACATGGTGTATAGTATATACAAATAATTTCGGCCAATATCGTGTGTGTGTGTGTGCGCGCGCGTGTGTGTGTGCATGTGTGCGTGCGTGCGTGCGCGCACACACACACACGCACACAAACACACGCACATGCACACACACTATTGGCCAACATTCTTTTGTGCTTTTTCACCAGCATAACGCAACTGACATAAATCTTGTTGGCAAATTGTCACAAGTTAAGAAGTTAGCATAGGCATTTGCTGTTGCAAAATAAGATTTTGGAGGCAGTGGAAGACAGGAGGGCCTGGCATGCTCTGGTACATGGAGTCACAAAGAGTCGGACACGACTTAACGACTAATGCACTACACGTGATCATGATCTTTAGGAGAATCACCCTGGCAGGAGGGACAGAGTCCCTGTGCTGGCCCCAAGCCCTTTCACTCACTTTGCTGCTACAAACACCCTCACCCTGGTACACCTGAGTAGGGTGGTGGGAGTCCCATTTGCCTAGGGGTCTAGGCAAATGGGACTCTCACCACCTAACTATTCAGGCTACCAGCTGCAGAAAACTTCCTGGGAGCATCAGGGTCGGCATGAGCAGCGAGCTCTTCCTGAGCTAGCATGAAGGCCTGTGTATGTCGGTCCTGCCTTCTGGCCTTTTTCTTTGGCTTCTTTGAGATGCCTTTCACTCACATTGTTTTCTAAGATCCCAGGCTGATCCTTTTCTTCAGCTTTCTAGATCCTCCCTTTATTTTCACCTTCTGGTTAATCCTGGACAGCTGCCTATCAGCCCTGACACTTGCATGACATTGAAGCTAATGACGTACAATTATTATTTCATTTAGTTGTCCCATACACCTTGACTTCAAATAACATAATAACGGATAATTTGATGTACAGTACTAGTATTCTTGTGTTTATTTGTAATAGTAATAGCATCACAGAATAAAGCATACTATACATGGTGTATAGTATATACAAATAATTTCGGCCAATATCGTGTGTGTGTGTGTGCGCGCGCGTGTGTGTGTGCATGTGTGCGTGCGTGCGTGCGCGCACACACACACACGCACACAAACACACGCACATGCACACACACTATTGGCCAACATTCTTTTGTGCTTTTTCACCAGCATAACGCAACTGACATAAATCTTGTTGGCAAATTGTCACAAGTTAAGAAGTTAGCATAGGCATTTGCTGTTGCAAAATAAGATTTTGGAGGCAGTGGAAGACAGGAGGGCCTGGCATGCTCTGGTACATGGAGTCACAAAGAGTCGGACACGACTTAACGACTAAACAACAACAAATATATAGGGTGTATTATTATAAAATAATGGCTGGAATTCTATTTGTAAAATTAAAGGAAAAATGAGGGGAAAATATTGTGGTGCTTTAAAGCCTAACAAATTAATTTCAGTGTGAGCATTTGTTCACTCACTTTGCTGCTACAAACACCCTCATCCTGGTACACCTGAGCAGGGTGGTGGGAGTCCCATTTGCCTAGACCCCTAATCAAAATCCACTTCTTCAGATACTTCCAGATATTTCAGAGAGTATCTGAAGAAGTGGATATTGACTCACAAACCCTCACGTTGAAAGAATCTCTTAGTCTTCAAAGTGACACAATATTTTGCCCTTGTTTTTGTCTGCCCTCCCCCTTTAATCTTGCTAACATGCTGACACAAACTAAAGGTAAAGGTTCCTCTTGACAATTAGTCAAATCATGTCTGACTCTAGGGAGTGGCGCTCATCCCTGTTTCCAAGCTGTAGAACCAGTGTTTCGTCCGTAGACAATCTTCCGTGGTCACATGGCCAGCATGCCTAGACACAGAACACTGTTACCTTCCCACCGTGGTGGTACTTACCGTATTTTTCTTTCGCTCCATAAGACGCACCTCTCCATAAGACGCACCAAATTTTTAGCAGAAGAAAACAGGGAAAAATAATCTGTTTTCTTCTCTCCATAAGACCCACAGACTTTCCACCCCCCTGTTTTGTGGAAAAAAGTGTGTCTTATAGTGCAAAAAATATGGTATTTATCTACAGTATTTGCATTTTTCACGTGCTTTTGAACTGCTAAGTTGGCAGGAGCTGGGACAAGTGACAGGAGCTCACTCCAACGTGTGGATTCGAACTGCTGATCTTTTAACCTTGCAGCCAAGAAACTTCTGTGGTTTAAGCCACAGCGCCACCACATCCCTTGACACAAACTAACACAGCTACTTACAGTATTTGAAAAACCCTACTGATGTTCACATAAGGTTTATGTAACTTGCCACAGCTAATTGTAGCTATCTGCCAAGGTGCCAGACCATGTCTTGCTTATGTGCTTGATCATTTACCTGACTGCACAACTTAGAAGCAACCAATTAACACTTTGTTAATTAGCTACAATTAGCCACAGGAAGTTATGCAGATTTTTCATGAACACCAAGAGGATTCCAGCTAACATATAGTGGCTGAAATCCAGTCACAACTAGTGTAGGCCCACCGAATCAATGAAACTTGTGCAGAAATTGGTTCACTAAATTGCCACTGATTCAATAGGCCTACTCTAGTTGCAACTTACTACCAAATTTCATCTAGTACACATATAGTATTTTGGGGAGATCTAACTAAAGGTAGACAGATTGGTGTCTGGCCCATCTTCTACTCTTTGGGAGACCATCTGTTTCAATCTGATTTTCGTCCATGCCATGATTTGTGTTTCGGTTCTCCATAAATAGCCCCATTCCTGGGAACAGGAAAAGGCATATGGTAAAGCCAGGTGGTAGACAGAATGGTAGGCACAAGCCAGAAGGGCCAGGACAGCAGCAGTTCCAAAGCTGGGCAATCAATTTTATTTTTCCCTTCCTTTTTTCCCACATGCAGAGGAAAGCCCCCAGCAGCTTCCTAAGACAGCCACAGGGAAATGGAATACAGAAGGAACTTTAAAAGGGCAGTGGGTAAGGTCCTCTTTGATTCCTTTTTTAAAGAGTAATGGAAGGAAGCCTGTTCTTCTCTGTGTCCTTTCTCTCTCCCCCATCATTTTTTTTTCTTCCATGCATCTGAAATTAGTGGTGCTGCAGCCACAGTATGGAATTTGGTGATTTCACCAATAACTCAGGAAAAAGATACTCTTCTTCCAGCCACCAACAGAGTGGCTTTCTTAGTTTTTCTTTCATTTTCCCCACTTCTAACTATGACATGTAAATGCCAGATTTAATACTGCCCCTTGATCCCCCTGGAAGTGCACAGATTCATCCTTGATTCAGCTGGTATCAACACATTTAGTATTTATAAGAATAACATATACATGTTATAATGGCTGAAATCCTCTTCATGCAGATATCCTATGCGTCACACAATCTGAAGGGGGGAAAATCCTGCTTGACGGGATTCAGAACTAGCACACAACCCCCCCCCCACACACACACATTACAATCACAGTGCTTTGCTTTTGCATGTCCCCCTTGGCCTGAATGCCATGCCCCAGCGGCCCATGTCACTGAAACACCACCCAAAGGCAGGGCCCCCTCATCTTTACAAAAAATGTATCACAAAACTAACCACACAGGAAGAAGCCTGTTTGAATTGTTCTGGCCCCAAAACACAGAAGATCCCCCCCACAGAGGCACAGGAAGAAAGACACTTTTGGAACCAAATGGAACTAAATGAAATCAGCCTTTGCATCATGTGGTCAGTAAAAATACTGTAAACTCGTCTTTTTTATAAGTGGTGCAAAACCCACAGTATTTGACCATGTAGTGACACTCTCATGCCTCTTATCCTCAGGAATCCAGGGGAGCCAGGGGACAGAAGGAGGGCATCTTTACTGCCCAAAATTTAATGCCACTGGTAAATTCCTCCAGGCAGCGGTGAATTTCTGTAACTAAGGATATCTTCCTATCATGCCACAACTTCCATGGCTTCCTGACAATGAAAGGGATTATACAGGAGCTTCAGAACAGAAATAAAAAACCACCCCTACTGATGACATCATCAGTCTTACATGGGTGTAGATTATACAACAGGATTTCAGACCTTATATTATTTAAAATAGTAAAAAACAAATTGAAGTTTGGGTACTTCATTTAAAAAATGGGTCACTGGTTTAAAAGCACTTTTCTGAGCAGTCCCTTTTTTGTCTCTTTAAACGCCACAACGTTCTTGTTGTTTACTAGTGAAACACAGAATCTCCTAACGAAAGTGAAATTCATTATAATTTATAGACTGCTGAGAGTATTTATTTCTTCAGGGGGGGAAATAAGTGACTTTGCTAGAAATGCCTCAGCTTGTTAAAGCAGTTGGTGAATTTGCTGTGGAATGAATCACGGGAAGCAATGGAATTAATTAGTGGGAAACTGTTCACAATATATGGTGTACAGAAATGAAAAGGTCTTCAGATCATTATCATTTAATTACATTATGGTTTTAGCACCACAGTGCCAAACAGGAGCGAAACTGATCTTAGTTGTGCTTAATGGAATCCTATTGCTTTAAAAAATGTCTTATCTAATGCTTTTGAATGACAAACGTCTGTGTGTATACGGCCATATTATGCCAAGGGCACACATAAAATGCCTGAAATGTTTCAACTGTCCCATATTTCACATATAAACAGTATTCAGAATAGTCTTTAGAAACAGTTCAAATGTACTATCATCTATCTGCATTAGACTGCAGCATATTAGAGCTTAAATTTTTGAGTTTATGTTTTCAAAGATGTACCCTCTTTCCCCGAAAAGAAGACCTAACCTGAAAATAAGCCCTAGTATGGTTTTTCAGGATGTTTGTAATATAAGCCCTACCCCAAAATAAGCCCCAGTTGAGTGAAACCCCAACCTCCACCATTGTGCAGCAACCAGAAGAAGATAACATGACTGTACAGTATTTGAATCAATGTAGATTGTTGTACATGAAAATAAAACATCCCCTGAAAATAAGCCCTAATGCATTTTTACAGCAAAAATTACTAAAAGACGCTGTCTTATTTTTGGGAAAACACGGTATATACATTCTGGGCAGTTTACACACTATTAAAACCAAGCTTCACAACAGAACACTAAAATATAACACAAAATAGCAATAATGTGGCAAGAGCATTCAAAACAAACAAACAAAAAGTAGCACCAACAAATGATCACAAAAAGTGGAGCTGGAGGCAAAACACTCAGCCAGGGTGGGATTGGAAAGCCTCCCTGAAAATAAGTGTTTTCAGCTGTTTCCTAAAAGAGTATGGGGGGTGAGGAGGCAGGCGTAGCTCCTCCAGGAGTTGGTTCCATAGTCTTGGTGCCAACACAAAGAAAGCCCCACCTCTGGTAGATGACCTTCAGGCTTCTCTTGGGGTGGCTACCTGGAGGAGTCTGGGACAACCTGGTGGGTCAGGCAGATGACACTGGGAAAAGACATAATGTGGTCTCAAACCATGAAGGGCTTTATACGTTTCAAAACCTTGAAGCTGATCCCGGTCACAACAGGTAAGCAGTGGAGACTGGCAAAACTGGAGTGATTCTCTTTGAAGAGAGAGAAGGTTCCAAAGAGAAGCTCAAAACCTTCTCTATGGAACAAACTCCCTTCCGAAATCCGTTTGGCCCCCTCGCTGGGCATGTTTAAAAACCAACTTAAGACCTAGTTATTCAAACAGGCCTCCCCTCCAGGCACTACTTAAATATTCCACACTCTCAGGTCACTATCAGCCTGCACAGTTGCGAACACCAGGTCCAGAGTATGGCCTGCTCTATGCGTGGGGCCAATAACACGCTGGGAGAGGTTCATGGCTGTCATGGAATCCATGAACTCCAGGGCCAGTCCCGACAGTTCAGACTCAGCATGGAGGTTGAAATCTCCAGCTATCAATAACCTGGAGGACACCAGCACCACCACTGAGATGAACTTGGCCAGCCCTGGCAGGGAGAGTCCTGGGTCATGGGAGGAATGGTACACCAGCATTATCCCAGTCTCCAGATGAAAGGACAAGGCATGACTCAACCCCCACAAAAGGTACTAAGGCTCCTGGCTCCCCAGACGGCCCCACCATGGCCTCATTGCGTTAGATCTGCCTCCCCCTCATAAAAAAAAAAAAAACTAAAAATACACAAACCTAACTATGGGTTACCAAAAACGCCTCCATCCACTTGGTGCCATCTTTTTTAGACCTAACAAGACCCGGCTGTGGTCTAGAATTACCCTAAGGATTCTGCACCAGCAGCACCTTCTTGTGAAAGGAACCAGAAGGCTCTCAA